ATGATACTTGGAACAAAAGATCCTTGAGTATCTCTATCACCGGCTCCAAAAAGCGCAACAGCCAGTTAATTATAGATCTCTCAAACTTTCTAACAAATTGCCGATTGTACTAAAGAATGCACCGATCAGAAAATTCAAAGCAGTAATTGTGAAAATTTCATTGAACAATGCCTTCTATTCACATGATGAATTCCTTGACTTCTCTTTTGACGAGACACCACTGTGACTTTTTCTTCCAATTGACAAGTCTTATATCGTACTTTTTTCAAAAACGTTTTATATACACACCTATATAGGTATCTCGGTTTTATTTTGAATTGTGATCGTTTATGAAAGAAATTTAACTTTTGACATGTATCGAACGTCTCGTGATACCGACCGAGTAGTCCATTTTCCATATTTTTCGAAGCAAAACTCTATGCTCGAGTCGAATTTTGAAATGAATCATTATTAAAAGATTTTGCATATGCTGCCGACTTTATGACTGACACTGTAATACCTTAGGACAAGATTCACAGTTGATATCATATCTGACTTCTGATTCCTAATCCCACTTCTGATTTCATATCCCACTTCTGATTTCATATCCCACTTCTGATTTCATATCCCACTTCTGATTCCGTATCCCACTCTATTTTCGTATCCCTTTCAGACTTGCTATCCCACATCTGACCAATTATTCTCTCACGCTTGGCAGGTGGCCAAATGTTGTGTCGGAATATATCCGTGTGCATCAAATCAATATTGGAACAGGTGTCGGAATCAAATGGAGATCGTCGGCTATTTGGATACCTTTCGAGTGCCTCGTCAGGTCAATAAAACTCGAAATCGAGGCATGTATATCGATTTGGCAGGCGATAGTGTTGACAAGCTCTCAAGTGTCTCACACTATAAACGTGGAATATATGGAATAGGCAGAGGAATTTCATAATTTTTCCCAAACTATGTTTCAATGCTCACAAACGTCGGGAGATTTCCAGACTTCCTAATTGAAATAATTTGACTCCGTTTAAAAGTTTTGATAAAGCCGTATGCGGGTCCCAATCTCGTCATGTCATGTTCAAGTTCGCGCTTATAAGGGCATAAGGGCATGCTTTTCAATCCTATTTCAGGAAGGCAGTTATACTTCTACTCCACCGCACTTCATTGGCCAGACGGCAATGCTGAACTTATACGAAAGAAAAAGAGGGAGAGAGGAGGAGAGAGAGGGAGAGAGAGGGAGAGAGAGGGAGAGAGAGGGAGAGAGAGGGAGAGAGAGGGAGAGAGAGGGAGAGAGAGGGAGAGAGAGGGAGAGAGAGGGAGAGAGAGGGAGAGAGAGGGAGAGAGAGGGAGAGAGAGGGAGAGAGAGAGGGGGAGAGAGGCAGAGAGAGGCAGAGAAAGGCAGAGAGAGGCAGAGAAAGGCAGAGAAAGGCAGAGAGAGGGAGAGAGAGGGAGAGAGAGGGAGAGAGGGAGATGGAGAGAGACGCAATTTTGAATTCGGGCTTAGTCAACTGATATTCAGGAAGTGTCAGTTTCAATTCCTTTTAGTCAAATGATATTTAGACAGCGTCATTTGTGATTCAGAATTGTCAAATGATATCCAGAAAGCGTCAGTTGTAATTCAGATCAGTCAAATGAAGTTTAGAAAGCGTCAGTTGTAATTCAAATAAGCCAAATGATATGTGAAATACGTCAGTAGTAATTCCGATTAGTCATATTATCTTATTTAAAAAGCATCAGTTTTAATTCAGATTAGTCAAATGAAGTTCAGGAAGCATCAGTTGTGATTCAGAATAGTAAGTTGAAATAAAGTAATCGTCAGTGGTAATTCAGTTACATCGATTGAAATACCAATTAATCATAAATAAGAGATTCACATAAAAACGTGGCAAATATCATTGACTAAATAGATTGTACTATGCTGGATTGAATTTATTACTGAAAATATCTGGTTAGAAAGGACCGTCGACAAAAAAACGTTTTCCTAAAACGGCTCTCCGAACGCCCTTTCGTCTGCCCCTTTCACAATTTCAGCAGTAACAGTAATATAAATATTTAGTCGGTTTAGTGTCTGCAGCGACACACGTTTTACGTTGAGACACCTGGAATTGCTGAATCGCCAACCACACCTTCAATAATGGAAGGGTTATTCCAGCTTCCGTTCTTTCCCACACACATAATATATTAGAAATCAGAAAAAATAAAACATGATATCAGAAGTGGAATATGAAATCAGAAGTGGGATATGAAATCAGAAGTGCGCTATGAAATCAGAAGTGGGATATGAAATCAGAAGTGAGATATAATCAGAAGTGAGATATGATATCAGAAGTGGGATATGCAATCAGAAGTGGAATAGGAAATCAGAAGTGGGATATGCAATCAGAAATGGGATATGCAATCAGAAGTGGTATACATGTCAAAAGCGTTCTGAATTTCAGAAGTAGAATGGGAAATCAGAAGTGTGGTATAGTTTAGAATCCAGATACATTTCGTATATCTAATCAGAAGTGGTATCATGAGTGTGATGATATTCAGAAGTTGGTAACATTTTCTAGACAGAATCAGATGTGAGTTACATTTCAGAAGCGAAAAATTTAATCAGAAGTGAGATATGAAAAATAGGATATTTTTCAAGAGTGAGATAACAAATCAGGAGCAGGATACATTTATGTAATGAGATACATTCTTGAATTAGGATATGTTATCAGAAATAGGATATGGATTCAAAAGTGGAATAGATTTCAAAAGTGTGATACATTCCAGAAGAGGAATATGTTGTCATAAGTATGATATAATATCAGCAGTGAGTTACACTTCAGAAGTGCAATAAGGAATTGAGAATGAGGTGCATTTCAGAAGTGGGATGAATTTCAGGAGTGGGACACCTCGACCTGAAGTGAGGTACAGTGTGATTGTTTATATTATACTCAATACCTATCTCAGTTTATTGGTCTTACAAAAAACGTTCATATCGGCAAAAATCAATTTTTTTCATTGGCATTCAGAATCAGAATTCAGAAATGGGATATGGTATTAGAAGCAGGACGAATTTCAGAAGTGGAATGAAAAATCAGAAGTGGGATACAAAAATCAGAAGTGGGATAAAAAATCAGAAGTGGGATATGAAATCAGAAGTGGGATGAAAAATGAAAAGTCAGAAGTGGGGTCCTTCCCCGATCGGCATTTTCGCGATCGGAATACGTCTGAGATCTGCGACCTAGAGAGGATGGAGGGTGGAGGCGGCGATGCGAGTGTGCCGGCATTCCACGAGGCAGCCATCCGACCGGCGACCCACCAAACAGGACTATTGATCTGGCGCGACGTTGCCGGCTCCACCGACAAGATCGCTAAACACAGGACGGGCCGGAAATCAAAGCTTGGCGTAGAGATTTCCTCGCAAAATGATATTATTTGCATAACCATTGTTACATTCGTCTGAAATGTCTCTAAACGTTTCGTGAAATATGTATGAGAGTTTCTTTGGTTATATTATAGGAGATAATAGTGGGAAGGGTTGAAGTTGAAGTGTATGATCTGGTTGGAAATTGTCTGCTTCTAAGGACGGCTCTGTTTGAACGCAGTTTCACATATAATGCTGTAATAGTATATAACGTTATAAGTTTTGAAGCGTCCATATAAATAAATATAAATGGAAATATTAGTGTCAAAAACATATTTGTTGATATTAATGAGCGAACCGGAGGTAGTTCGACTTTTATTGTAGAATATACAGGGTGTTTCAAAAAGAAGTGACCACCTTGCTAGGGTAGGTAGAACACTGCAAAATAAGTTGGTTTGCTCAGTAACAATATGTCGTAATGAAATCCGTGTTCAAGATACAAGGTGTTGAAGAAAATATTTTTTTTTGAGATTTTTCACAAATATTTCTGTATGGATGTGTAATGGAAGCTGGCATATTGCATGCATTTATTTTTATATCACACTCATAGAGGGCGCTACGTATAGAATAGTTTCAAACATAACTTTTTTGAGGTTAGATTCTTCAATACAAATTTCATGTGAGCTTGAACATCATCCAATTTTACACCAAAAAGGTTATCTTGGTGAAACTCGATACTGTGTACCGTTTTCGGAAAATTTCGATTTGAAAATGTCTAACTGCAGCTGGTATAATGCTATTTATTAGATTAAGTATCATGAAGAACTATCACCTTTTTATTGAAAACCGAAAACCACAATACATTCTCGATGCTGAACTTATTGATTGAACATTAATCACGAGGATACCATTGGAATGAATTTGACTAAAAACATGGATTACACAGTTTGGTTGTATCTTAAGGTGAAAGTCTATGCTACAGAGGTAAATAAAACGGTACACAGTTTGAGTTTGATCAAGAGTACCTTTTTGGTGTTGAATTGAATGATTTTCGAGTTCCCATGGAATTTGGACTGAAATATCTAACCTCAAATAAGTTTTGTTTGATATTCCTCGGTATAAACCATGTAACTAGCGCCCCCATGAGAGTAAGATATGCAAACAAATTAATGGGATGTGTCAGCTTCTGAAACATAACCTTACAAAATTTCATCACAATGTTGCCAGTAGTTTGGGCATAATCGTGAAAAATGTGTAAAAATATTTTATTTTCAACACCTTGTATTTCGAAAACGGATGTCGTTAGGACATTTTGTTACTGGGGAAACTCAGCTTTTTTTGCAGTATATTAACTACCCTAGCAAGGGGGTCAGGTTTTTTCAAACACCCTGTATATGTTAATATATCAATGATAATAATTGTTTTCGTCTACTTACTTGAAGCCTTAAATAGGAGGAAAGTAAACTGAAATGAACATATCTCTGATGGATGAAAGCCATAATGAGAAGACTGTGAGGTATTATTCTTCGAAAATCCTAATGCGATGCTATAAATTATCTATATAATTTACAATATTCTTTTGTTTTTATGCATGTATATAGTAAATATTTAGGCGTTGTCACTTATATGGTTTATTGATATGAACAAGTTTATCTAATCAATCTTTTGTTTCGTTAGTTTATTAATTGCATACTTGGATGAAAATAAAATGTTGGGAAGCTTATAAATATTGAGTGCAATTCTCAATACTGCAGCACAATGGCAGGTTCATATGTGAGTCCATTTTCCTCCGTAAGTAGCCATACTTTTTTGTAACATATCGTCATCTTTTCATTGTTAATATGTGGTAGTATAAATGTTCTTGTTCCTTAACAAAATTTGTTGAATTGAATATGAACTCGAGAGTTTGGTAGTTTTGTAAATATCTTACATAAATCGTGTGGCTCTGCCTTGAAAAACAACAACCTCGACAACAACACTGACAATATAAGAAAATGAAATTGTACAAGAATATTAGGATTAATCACTAATTAAGTGGAATTTTTTCTACATTCATGCAAAAAGCCGAATTTTAATGAACTATATTTAGTGGAAAGAGAAGTTCTTTATTGCACTTAGTGCAATAAAGTTTTTATTGCACTCATCTGTCAGCCTGAAGGAAATAACGATGTATACAGTTACCAAGTACTAGTACGTTTACAGCATTAACAAATCAAGAAGTGGATTTAAAAAGTACTTCACTACGAAATATTCATATTGAAAATTGCACCAATTGTTCATTCACTTTCAACATTGAGGGTAAAAATAAAGTTTGAGTTAAATTGTTCGTAACGTATTAGTTCCTGTCTCAATGCAAATCGATATCAATAATAAAGTATTCAAGTTGCGTTTTTTATTTTCCTACACCTAGTGCCGCTGTATGCAACTCGTGCAAAAATTGTTTATTGCACTCGACGTGTTGTCCAACTCGGCGTAACGTCCTCGTCGGACAATTTCACGTCGAGTGCAATAAACATTCACATTTTGCACTTGTTGCATAAATAACTATAGATCATCTCAAGATTTAACCCCATTACATCATAATGAAAACCTTACTTTTATCCAGTTCTTTCCAACTAGAAAGGCTTATATTTTCAGTATGACAACGTAGGTGATTCCGAAAACCTTCACAAGAAGCTCCTTGACTTCAGATGCTCGATATGCAACAAACATTTATCCGTACCTCCGATAGACCATTTAAAAAACGAGGGTATGAGATGCGGTAGATGTTCCTACATACCTCTAGAACTAGCTGAGAGAGCATCTATTTTCGAAAGAACAGCAGCCGAAATGTCATTCCCATGCTCGTTTAAAAATTGCCATGAGATATTGCGTTGGGGCGAAGTTCATATGCATGAAATAATTTGCCCAAAAAGGGACTTCGAGTGTCCCTTCTTGTGTGACAAGCTAAATAAGTCCGATGAGATGCTAAACCACTTTATGACCGAACACCATGAGAAGAAGCTAGGAAGCCAGTGGAAAATCCAAGTTAGAACTGAGGATTTCTCAGTGTTCTTCTTCGAGCATGAAGGTGATCTGTATGTGGTTCGCTGCTTCACCAGCAAGCAAAAAGCTGCATTTGATGTCTTTACTTATGCAACACCGATGAATAGTCCCATGTTCGAACTGGCGATAACTTCATCAGATGCTGCGACTGCGACTATCATGGATCAGAACGTCAGCTGCATCAGAACCTTCCCAACTTGTTGGAAGTGTTTCATGAGGAGTTGTCAAAACAAGTATCACGTGGGTGACCTTGGTGGCAGTGGAACCAACGTTGCCAACAGTTTCTTGAGGAGAATGTTGGGTTCTGCTGGAAGGTTGAGCTGCGAGCTTGATATTAGAGTTGGATAATAGATTGATTGGTCGTACTTGGACGTGTACTATACCAGGTGTAATAGGATCATGGTACACCGAACTATTTTGATGAACTCAAATTGGCGATAAACCTCATTTGACTGTTCTATCTATACTTCATTGCGACCTCGAAATACTCCTTGCGTGGAAAATGTGAATCAATTGATCGTCGTGCAGCAAAATCAATCTCTTCACATATCTGCAATATCTTGAAACTGAGATCTTTCATAATAAACGAATAGTCTGTATATATACTCCACCTGTATTGTGGTCTGTATTATTTTATATCTACCGAATAATTTTTTATCCCATGCTTCGTATTGTAGCAACACTTCCATGTAACGTTTCATTATTTTTTTGTACATAATATAGAACATTTCTGTCAACTTCTTGATTGCCATAATGATGTGTGTATCTATGTAAGGTATATTCTCTTAATTTCGGGGTTAGGACTTAATTTATATCAACTATATTGTGTTTTGTTAGTAAGTTTTTTTTTTTCATTCGTTTCATACCATGCTCCCTTTTTTTTTAGCATCACTTTCATGTAGCTTCCATTATTTTGGTACATAATATGGAACATTTGTGTCAACTTGTTCACTAATATTCATTTGTACTATGTATGGTATATTCTTATTTTCAGGTTCAGGTCTAAATTCGATTTCATATTAATATTCATATTCAATTAGTAATTCCTGTAATTCTACCAAATTTCTTGTTTATAAAACTTAATGTTTTGTGTGAAGAATAAATGAATAATAATAAAATAATGATAAATTTGCGATAAACCAAGAAATTTTACATTTCAGACAGGATTCAGTTTTTTTCAGCTTTGCACCTCCTCATATGGTGTATCAGATTTGATCAGAATAGTCATGGCACACTCGGGTGGAAAATAAAAAATGAAAGTATCATTGAATTCAGAAAATTATACAGAATGCATTCATATACAGGGTGTTCCTTTTGAAAATCAAAAGTTATCACCGTTATCGGTGAAACCAGATGTGGAAAATAAAACATATTCATGTCAAAACGTGACGTTCATCAAGTGGATGGGTAATTCCAAATTTCAATCACTTTTCTTTGAAACTATAAAGGAGACAAAGGAGGTGTTATTAGGCACTCCATCTTGCAAAACTGACTATGAGGATACAAGAAATTACACTATGGAAGAGTTGGCTACAATAAAGGAGATATATTGATGTTTGGAACAAGAGTTTTTATGAATGATGCATTATTATGTTTCCGTATCTACCATTTAACAATGAAGGTGCGCCCGTTTTTCATGAAAAAGTTGTCGATTTGTAACTGACACAATTCCACTTCCATTGTACAATTTCACACATGGAAATGTAATTATCTAACACAGCATGTGCCCCCAAGAGGAAACATGCTAAATATGTTTGTTGCGCTATTTTCAAATGTTAGGTCCGTTGATACTAGGGTCTCTCGATGGAAATTGACGTTGAAGTCATCCTAACTAGAGTTCCTAAATGTTCTTGACACTGCTGACGTTTTTTGTATATAGGTCGCGTGCAAGAACTGTCAGATGACCGACCCTGGAGGCAAAACATATTTGTTTACAAGTGATCGAAATAGTTTTCCACAATTATTTTGGCATATGAATCGTATTTTTCCGCTATTCATCAATTCGCTAATGCCATCACATTGTGCTGTTGTAAAATCCACAAAAACTGCAGCGGAAGATGAAGAAATCCGGATGGTACATTATGATTCAAAAAAGTACCTACTATAGTCATCACATAGTTTTCATTTTTGAAATTTGGTTATTTCTCTGATTTCTCATCGGAATTCCTTCTGCAATAGGATCAGCTGATAGAAATATACCTGAAATTTCTAGAATAATGCAAGAAGATTGGATTCATGCAATCAATCGGTAGGACTGGTCTGACATATGCTGACGATCGTGTGTGTTGTAGACATTTTCAATCTATTAGCAGCATTAGCTTGTATTGCAGAAGTGGTAGAAGGCAGAAGGAATTTTAATAAGGAATGACAACATTTCATAATGCTAACTATGTGAGATTACTATTTATCTGAAAAATCATATTCCCTAGTCTCTTGCTGCATTTTTTGTGCATTGTACAACAGCACAATGCGAAGGCATGCTTGAATTAATGAATAACGCAAGAAACACGATTCGTATGCCAAAATATTGTGAAAAACTATTTCAACCTTTTGATTCCTCTGTAACCAAATAAAAAAGTGAGGTTGTGTTTCAATAATTCGAATGGAGTGAATTGATTTCCCGTGTTCTCACAGTTGGAAACTGCACAAACTTGCATGTTTCTCCTAATTCTCTCAATTTGTCAAACCTTTGAAATGTATGTGATGTACGTCCGTGTACTGTCAGTTCCCGCTTTTTCCATCAATTTATTTGTGGTTATGTCTGATTGTCAGTGCTTGTCATAGTGTCCGTACACTGATATACAAAAAACGTCAAAATCAGCAGTGTCAAGTACATTTAGGAACTCTAATCCTTACAAAGTACGGACAGATCATAGCTGCATTCTTTTTTGATGATCTAGAAACTTTAGTTTTGTCTACTGGCATCCCTGACATTGCTGTCACGTCACATCCATGGGCGCTACAGAAAATCAAAAAAAAATTGGACATTGGGATTTTGGCATCCTGGGTGCGGGATATCGGCAAGATGCTCCCAATTTTTTTGTATTATGGTGGAATTAAATCATATGATTGATTCGATATTGAATTTTGCACGAATGAATTCGCTATAAATGCCATATTGCGTGTTTCTCGGAATAGGTACTTGATAGATCGTAGGAGATAAAGAAACAAGAAAGTAAGGAAAAAATAACAAGGGCATCTACGGCCCCCATGGTCGAACTCTTGAATATTTTTAAATTGGTTAATGGCATGATATTTTAGGGTTATCGCCTATAGCAATCGTTATATGAAATATGATTTAGAGTTATTGATTTCACTTTCCCTTAAAGGGGAATTCATTAACATCGTACGAGAAGCTGAATCAATCTATCATAAAATGTCTTGTGGACTCCAATATTACATTATACATTATCTAACCTGCACTGAAAAAAAGAAGATGGTAGTTATTACCAAACGTTTAGTAAAATAGGCGCCAGTCACAACTTTCATCAAATGATACCACTACAACATTATACAGGATGGTCCGGTTTGTAATACGAAAAATTCAACAGGGTGTTGTACTCGTTGAAATAATAATAAAAGTTCATATAAACATATACTTTTGAACGCGTCGTTTTCGAGATATAGGGTGTTGAAAATACGAGTCTGAATACTGTCTGTAGGTTAATCGAGGAGGTGGTACATTCATTATTTCAAATTTTTTGGGATTTTCTCTCCTCGCTTCTATAAAATAAAAATAAGAATATTATTTCAATATACGTGTAGTAAGGACAAATCAGATGATTTGCCCCAACATGTCACTGCGTTTAAAGAATTTTTCTATCAGAGAGCCTAAAAGAAAATTTCACTAGCTTGTCAGTGACAATTTGTATTGAAAAAAGTTTGGAGAAGAGAAATAAAGGTATATAGAAAAAATATCAAATTTTCACTTATCTTTGGACGTTTCGGGACCGAGTCTGCTCCCTTTTTCAACATGAGAAGAGATTATTCCAATAGCGAAGTCGTATAATCTTGAAGCTTTTCAGTTTTCAATGACAATTGGTGACGTTGGCAATCAAATGAGTTACAGGATGTTTTCATTAATTAATCTTGAATTTACCATTTTCATGTTCAGATTTCAGTAGTGAATACCATGTTCTGTCTATATCAACTGAACAAGAAGCAATGCTATTGTCTCCGTTCAGAAGAATGCAAGGAATCTGCTTCGCGTCGTTCGGGTCAACGGCATTCGCGTGCGGTAAAGTATCACTTTCCGCACTTGTTAAGGAAATTACTATTCCACGAATGAGTATCTTTCATTATGTCTAAATACCATACGAAAAATAAAAATACTCGGAAAATCGATCTTTCCAAATGTCAGTAGAAAAACTAATTTCTGTGGAGTATTCGAGTACCTATACGGTTATGGATTAATCAAAGTTGGCTGGTTGCTGGAAGACTGCGTCATGCGGAGTTGGAGGGCATTCGTCTTGTGGAAATGCGGTTTTCGCATGCATTGTCCTTCGAAAAGGATATTACGGAACGGAAACGTTTACTGATGCAATTAGGGACTTTCGTGTCGCTTCCACGAAATAATTTCCATTATAGACGTAACCGTTCCGAACGAATTCATTTTTCATGCATCGGATTTCTTCAGGTTTGTGAATTCTTCAAATATTGGATTGGATGAAGCTCGTCAAGACCTTTCATTTGATACCAAACAAGATCGTAGATAGTAGATTGTAGATGCGTAGTATAGGCTGGGAGACCTGTCGATCACTGCGACCTAGAGGATCTATTATGATTACCCTTATCTAGTTTTGGTCCTCTAACCCTAGACTCCTGAGGAAGCCTAGATTTTTCCTGACGGTTGAATTTTCCACCTCAGCAGGTGTGAGATAGACCTGTTTTAGGTGATTCAGCCTTTGGCGGACTAATACATGAGCAAAGTATGTGTTCCATCTTTTTGAGGTGGTACCTCAGAGGGCAGTGTCCTGCGAGAAAGCCTGTGATAAGCTTTAGCTCTGGTTCGCTGAGGCTGAATAGCTCTTTGGCTCGGTCCTGCGAATGGTTGATGAACCTTTTAGCTTGTCGTTGACCTGGAGTTGCTCCGAGCAGTCCCATGTAATCTTAGATGTGAAAACAAAAGATTTTAGGACTCTTAGTGCGGCTTGCTGTCTGATCAGATATATATGTTGGCACCCCTCAGACTTTTGCTCAGGCACATAGGGCGCATAGGTTGATGGCATGTATTTCAGCTTGAAAGATAGTGGGGGAGTGACCTAAGGCTTCAAATAGCCTACATCCGGGTCCATATACACCAGGCGTACCCTTTCTTCCATTTTCGAACCATCGGTGTACCAAACAAGGGACCCTCTGTCTAGCTGAGGCTCAGCGAAACCGTACCTAGGCGACTTTTCATAACCACTTCAAAGGCAGGATCGAAACTGAGCCTGGCTGGCATTAAATCAGATGGTTTGATTGCAGATTCCATTTGTACTTCTTGTAGAATGACCATGTGACCAGTGGCATCACCTGGCCTGTCCAATTCAGTGGAATTCAGTCTGTATACACTGATGAGAGCTGCAGTCCTCTTGATAAAAATATGCAAGGACAGTAGATCAAAGATCAAGCATAGCTTCCATTGCTGCAATAGGACACGTACGGATAGCCCCTGTGATCCCAAGACACGCGAGTCTCTGGATTTTTTGCAGCTTAAGTTGTGCTGATTTTTCCTTACGTTTCCTCCGACCGAAGCGAGGTGTAGTCCAGGAGGCAGAGGACGAACTTGTTGAGAATGGGGATAGAAGGAATATATTTGATATCCAGTGTTTTTAGATGTCAAGAATCACGAATCCGAGGTATGTAACCGTTCCAACCAGGGTCGAACGAATTGGTTTCTCCCCAATTTGAATTTCACTGGTTCGTGGATTTTTTTGCAAATCGAATTGGAAAGAGCTCAACAAGACCTTTCATTTGATACCACACAAGATATATCTATATTCAATATTCATCGAGTTATCCTAGTTTTTCTCCGACCGAAGCGAGGCGTAGCCCAGGAGGGGGTCAGCAAGAAATTGTTGAGATTTGAGCTAGAGGGGCAAAATTTTAGTAATCAGGGGGTTTGAGGTCAAGAATCAACAATCTAAATGTCTGTTTATCAATTTCTTGGTTGTCAGAATATTATTGAATGGATTTTTTTGCATGTCCAAATTCTCCTCGAT